CCAGTTTCATTTAGCTATAAATGCAAAAATTAGTAATTTTACAGTATATATAATCTGCTGTCGTGGAATACTTTATTTTTAAATAAAAACATTGAAGACTGCCTACTGACCGTACAATCAAGACGAGAAAGGCACTAGAATGATAGACAAATCGCTCTCCCAAGAAGCTTCTTCTTTAAATTTTAACTCTCTATTCTCTGACATGTAAAAATCTTTTTAAATTTAATTTTCATACACAGTTTGAAAAATAAAGTTAGGAAATACTTAGAAAATCACTTTACAACTTTTTAATTTTTTTTCTTTTCTTTTTTTTTCCAAGATGAATTTCTTTTGCTTTTTGACACAGTCACTGCAGACTCTACAGAATCGAGGCGACCGAACCTTCCTGTGTCTATCATCCCATCTGTAGCGTGGTGCAACAGGTAGAAAGATTTCTTGATCTTACCCAAGGCAGGTATTTAGAAACCTTCATATAGTCATTTGCTAGAAAATGGCTTACAGCCCAATCTTTGGGGCAAGAGCTATGAAAAGTATGTTTTCCCAAGAAAATAATGCTTTATTCCCAGACGTGACTGGAAAGACCAGAACTTATGATATAAAAGCTTTCATTTATGCTGTCGCATCATATACAAAGGAACATGGTGATGGGTAAATGCAAATCCCAAATCTATTAACAAGAAATGTATAACAGTGCATGATAAGTTAAATTTTCTTTATTGTTGTCCAACGCAGATCCTTTGGAGAGAAAAAAAGATCACAGTGCTTACCAGGTAACTGAACAGGTTAAGTCAAGGGAACCGTTAAAAGAAAGGGTTAGGGAACGGCGGATTTTTTTTATGGCATCTTCTCGCAGGGAGTTCTTAGCACTTGGAGCAGCTGCCAAAAAGGGAACGGTGGGTTTAACAACGACGACGAAGCAGCCTGGCTGCCAGGCGAAACGGGAGGGCACGCTTCAACCACGCTGCCAAAATGCAGGCAGCGCGTGGGAGCGCACTGAAGGGTCAGCAAACAACCTGGGGTGTCTGCGGGGGGGCAGAGCCACAGCTTCCAGCCGAGGGGCGACACCAGCGCAGAGAACAGGTAACGTCCTCAGCTCCTGGCCCACTCCCTTTCTTTTAAGCCCATAAAACATTAATTGGAAAAGAAAAAAAAGTCACCTTGGAGGCTTGCTCACCTGGCAGAGCTGCCTGTGCCAAAACCTCCCCGCTAGCAGTGAACACGGCCCCGCTCCACGCTCAGGCTCCTTGCCCCGACCTGCTCTGCCTGCGAGAAGCGGAGAGGAACCAAAATGAACCAGAAACGAAGGGTTGCTCACGTCCCTTGTCTGGCAGCGGTCTTCCTCCTGGGAGGATGAAAACCAGCAGCTATGATAACACCACGCCGCCATTTGGGGTGCGCCGCGGCCACATGAAGCCTGAGCAGAAGCGGTTATCAGTGGAGTCGGGGGGCCAGGCC